TTGTGTGGGGAAGGGTTAGAACCACTAGTAAGTGTTTATTCCTGTCTGTGATTTTGGGGTAATTAACTCAGTATTGGAAACGATGTTGTGAGTCCATGCCAGCCTACTTTTATTAAACAAACTTAAAGAAAAGTTTAAAACAGAAAAGTTGACCATGCAGGGGATTTTCACCAGCAAAAACACAGGTAATGGAAAAATGCCGAGCCACTTAGCTCCCACTTCAGCAGCCTTCCTCGTTTTCTGGGCTTTCCTGGCTCTCAGCCATTTAGCTGTAGCACCCTGCTGCATGGGGTCACTCCCTGGCCTCTCAATAGGGAATATCATGGCATCTCTCTCTCCTCCAAGATCTCCAGATTCCCTCAGTCCCCTGGATTTGCTTAGTCCTCTTGGCTCTCCTAATCCTCGAGACTTGCCTAGCCATATTGACTTGATCAGTCCTATGGCCAGGGAATCTCTCCTCCAGCATGGAGTGCTGTCTCTTGAGCAGAGCACACCTCTTTCCTAACGGGAGCCCTGAGCTATGCCCATGTCCTTCATTATAAGGGCTGTGCACACCTGCACTCACAGCCTGAAAGATTCAGGAAAATCCGGAGAAAGCTCTATACCAATATTCTGGAGTCCCGCACTTTGCATTCCCATGAACCTTGTGTCCTTGTACTGTCATAGTCCCCAATTTGGAGATTAGGGAAAGTTTCCTATACAGACAACAAACCTTGTTTGCTGACATACAAGCTGCTAATGTTTGTAATTCACACTGGAAAAAATACATTTGTAGGTCTAGTTCACTTCTGTTTTTTTCACATTGTTGTCAATCAAGCCCTGATGAAGAAGGTACTCTTGGACCACAGAAACATGTTGGCTACTTTTTGGATTGTACCTGACTTATCAGAATAAAATTGTATCTAGACATTTTAGCAGTGGTTTGGCTTTTCTATTTAAATTTTGTTTCAAAGTTTGAGTCAACCTGAAACAAGCATGCACATCTGACCTAGGGAATTGTTCAAATCTTAAGTCTGACGGGAACCAGTAGGTTGGGATATCCCGTATATAGTCATCACAATTCACACTTTCTGTTGCACAAATTACTTCAGCCTTTTTAGGGTTACAGGATGTCAGGGATCTCCTCGATCCCCGCCGCGATGGTCCCGGCGCAGGCGCAGTGCACCGCCCTGTGCAGGGACACGGGCACTAGGTCCGGGCCGGCCTCGGCGTTCGAGTTCGCGCATGCGCAGTAGAAGCCACGGCCGCCCGCTGGGCACCAATGGCAGCGCAGGGCGGGATATTTAAATGGCCCTGAGCTGTCATTCAGTGCCTTCTGGTCTTTCCTTCATCCTGTGATTCTGCGAACCTGTACCCTGTAAGTTATTGACCCGGATTGTACCTGACCTTGCTGTTTTCTCCTATTCTGACCCTTGCTTTGCCTGACCTCTCTCCTGGATGCCCCCTATTAGATTTGACCTGCTGTTGCTGACCTGGCGTGTGACCCGACCATTCTCTGCCCGCTGCCTTGTACCTTACCGTCCTCTCTGTTACCGACCCGGCCCGTCTGACCTTGCTCATCCATCCGCTCATCCCTCGCAGCGGGGTCTCCTGACCTCCTCATATCAGACTCTTTCCCGTGGGAGCCCTTGGCGCATACCACTACCACTGACGGACGCACCCAGTAGCCACGACCTGGTCTCGGGGGGCTCCAAGTCCATCCCCACCATCAGGGGCCCTGGTAAACAAGCACCCTGGGACTTAGACTCCGTGCGCTGAGGACGCCTATTCAGTGGAGTGCTAGTGGTACCGCCGGGCAGTCCCTTACAGTACCAGAAGGCCATGACTGAGTCTAGAGGAGGGCCCTCGCCGCTTGAGGAGATCTGCAGGACAGATGTCTGCAGATCGAAAATCAGTTCCAGACCTGCACTATATCCGTTCCTGCCCCACAGGCCGCGGTCCCCGCACCCCCGGCCGTAGCAGCCCCTGTGCCGGCTTCTGGGGCTTCCGCACCACTCCCGGCGGCCGAACCCCGAGTACCCTTACCAGAACATTTCCACGGGGACCACACACGCTTCAGGTCATTCCGTGAGTCCTGTCTTCTCTATTTTGAGTTGCAACCACGGACCTTTGTGACTGAATCCATGAAGGTGGGGTTCGTCATCTCCCTCCTGCAGGGTGAACCCCAAGACTGGGCCCACCGACTGCTGCGGGGAAAAAATGACCCTCACCTTAGTTCGGTTGACAATTTTTTTGATGCAATGGCCATCCTATACGATGACCCACAGCGGGCAGCTTCTGCTGAAGCTACTTTGTACACGCTCCGGCAAGGCCGTCGAGCGGCGGAGGAGTATGCGTCTGAGTTTAGGCGCTGGATGGGACACACACGCTGGAACGAGTTTGCACTCCTGCATCAGTTCCGTATAGGCCTATCAGAAGGCCTGAAAGATGAGCTCGCCTGGGTGGAGGTGCCTGAGACTTTAGAGGACTTAATTGCGCTGACCATCAAGATTGACCGTAGACTGCGGGAACGCAGGTTTGAGAGGTCCGGTCAGGGTCATGGAAATCCCTGGGGGTCATTTCAAGGTCCCAGTCAAGCAACTAGGCCAAACATCCAGAACCGGCCACCTGGAGATATCCCTGAACCCATGCAACTCGGCCTGGCATGGCCTAAACTATCTCCAGAAGAACACCAGCGCAGACGATCCCAGAACCTGTGCCTCTACTGTGGTGAAGCTGGTCATATGGTACGATCCTGCCCGCAGAAACTGAGTAAGTGCACCTCTTCTTCCTTGTCCATTGGCAATGTTAGTCCATCCCAATACTTAGTGGTGCCCCTTTCCTTTCAGCTTCCAGAAAGGACCGTGGAAGTATCGGCCATAGTTGATTCGGGGGCATGCAGCTGCTTCTTGGACATTAATTTTGCTCACCAGCAGGGTATTCCCCTCCAATTGAAACAGAAGGGGTTCAATATTTATTTGGCCGACGGTTCCCGGATAAAGTCGGGGGTAGTGAACCAAGAAACCCCCTCCATCGCCACTGTCATTGCCGGCCAGCACCAGGAACTCCTCCGCCTGGATGCTATAGCTTCACCCCTTTTCCCAGTCATTTTGGGGCTCCCATGGTTACGGGCCCATAACCCCCAAATTGACTGGGAGACCGGAGTAATCTCGTTCCCTTCCTCATACTGTCGGGTATACTGCCGCACTTCGGGCCGGGGGTCCCCCAAATCCTCCTGTGCTCTGAGGGGGAAGCCGAATTAAAACAAGTAATCCCTGCAGCCTACCATGAGTTTCTGGATGTGTTCAGCAAATGGGGAGCCGATACTGTCAGGGCTCCCGGGTATGACCAGAGGTGTGTGACTGACGCAGGGAAACGCAGGCTTCAGATATGTTATAAACAATGTAATTTATTAACACTAACCATACAAACATAAACGCAGTGCAATACTAAAACATACACAGTGCAAACAAAGCAAACCAACCACCCACAGATAACAGTACATACAATGCAAGCGTCGTCAGGCAGGCCGGGTCAATATCAGTCGGGCAGGTAGGTACAGGGGGAGCAAGCGGAGAATGGTCGGGGTCACAAGCCAGGTTCAGCAGGTAGCGGGCAGCGTGGTACAGAGGGTCAGGCAGAGAGAATGGTCAGACAAGCCAGGGATCAGAGCAGGGTCAGCAGAGAATCAGACAGGAACAGAGAGCAGGAACAGGATACAGGGCCCAAGAGAAACACAACACCAAGGCAGAGTCTGCAGGTCTGAATGTCCCTTAAATACACCAGTATAATTAGTTCCAGGTGTTTGACTGGCTGCAAGGTTGAGTCTCTGATTGCTAGGAGCACCCGCTGGCCAGCCCTGGTACTGCAGCTCATAAGGCAGCTGAGTCCCACTATTGCTGGCCAGTCCATTCCTGACAGTACCCCCCCCTCAAGGAGCGGCCTCAGGACGCTCCAAACAGTCCTAGCTGGGCAAAATGTTCCACCGCCCGGGTCTGGTAACTGGCGGGATATCAAAGACTGGCACACCGGGCAGGACTCCGGGCAGCGGCACACCGGGCAGAGGCACATCGGGCAGGACTCCGGGCAGAGGCACATCGGGCTGGACTCCGGGCAGAGGCACATCGGGCTGGACTCCGGGCAGAGGCACATCGGGCTGGACTCCGGGCAGAGGCACATCGGGCAGAGGCACATCGGGCAGAGGCACATCGGGCAGAGGCACATCGGGCAGAGGCACATCGGGCTGGACTCCGGGCAGAGGCACATCGGGCAGGACTCCGGGCAGAGGCACATCGGGCTGGACTCCGGGCAGAGGCACATCGGGCTGGACTCCGGGCAGAGGCACATCGGGCTGGACTCCGGGCAGAGGCACATCGGGCTGGACTCCGGGCAGAGGCACATCGGGCTGGACTCCGGGCAGAGGCACATCGGGCTGGACTCCGGGCAGAGGCACATTGGGCAGGACTCCGGGCAGAGGCACATCGGGCTGGACTCCGGGCAGAGGCACATCGGGCTGGACTCCGGGCAGAGGCACATCGGGCTGGACTCCGGGCAGAGGCACATCGGGCAGAGGCACATCGGGCAGAGGCACATCGGGCTGGACTCCGGGCAGAGGCACATCGGGCAGGACTCCGGGCAGAGGCACATCGGGCAGGACTCCGGGCAGAGGCACATCGGGCTGGACTCCGGGCAGAGGCACATCGGGCAGGACTCCGGGCAGAGGCACATCGGGCAGGACTCCGGGCAGAGGCACATCGGGCTGGACTCCGGGCAGAGGCACATCGGGCTGGACTCCGGGCAGAGGCACATCGGGCAGGACTCCGGGCAGAGGCACATCGGGCTGGACTCCGGGCAGAGGCACATTGGGCAGGACTCCGGGCAGAGGCACATTGGGCAGGACTCCGGGCAGAGGCACATCGGGCAGGACTCCGGGCAGAGGCACATCGGGCCGGACTCCGGGCAGAGGCACATCGGGCCGGACTCCGGGCAGAGGCACATTGGATTACCAGGCGAAGCAGCAGGCAGCGGGCCACCAGGCGGAGCAGCAGGCAGCGGGCCACCAGGCGGAGCAGCAGGCAGCGGGCCACCAGGCGGAGCAGCAGGCAGCGGGCCCCCGGGCGGAGCAGCAGGCACCGGGCCCCCGGGTGGAGCAGCAGGCACCGGGCCCCCGGGCGGGGCAACAGGCACCGGCCCCCTGGCGGGGCAACAGGCACCGGCCCCCTGGCGGGGCGACCGGCATCGGGTCCCCAGGCGGGGCGACCGGCATCGGGCCCCCAGGCGGAGCGGCGGGCATCGGGCCCCCAGGTGGAGCGGCGGGGACCCCAGGAGGGGCGACAGGCATCGGGCCCCCAGGCGGGGCGACAGGCATCGGGCCCCCAGGCGGGGCGACAGGCATCGGGCCCCCAGGCGGAGCGGCGGCGGGCGCTGGACCCCCAGGCGGAGCGACAGGTCTCGGGCCCTCAGACGGAGCGGCGGGCGGCGCCGGACCCCCAGATGGAGCGACAGGTCTCGGGCCCTTAGGCGGAGCGGCGGGCGCCGGACCCCCAGGTGGAGCGACAGGTCTTGGGCCCTCAGGCAGAGCGGCGGGCGCCGGACCCCCAGGTGGAGCGACAGGTTTCTGGCCCTCAGGCAGAGCGGCGGGCCCTGGACCCCCAGGTGCAGCGACAGGTCTCGGGCCCTCAGGCGGAGCGGCGGGCGCCGGACCCCCAGGCGGAGCGACAGGTCTCGGGCCCTCAGGCGAAGCGGCGGGGCACCGAGTCACCAGGCACGACAGTGGGCTCCGAGTCAACTGGCATGACCGCTGGCACTGGGTCAGACATTGGATCGTCTGGCTGGACAGCGGGCATCGGGTCACCAGGCATCAGGTCATTTGGCTCGACAGCGGGGCACCGCGTCATCTGGCAAGGCAGTGGGCTCCGAGTCAACTGGTATGACCGCGGGCACTGGGTCAGACATTGGATCGTCTGACTGGACAGCGGGCATCGGGTCACCAGGCATAAAGTCATTTGGCTCGACAGCGGGCACCGCGTCATCTGGCAAGGCAGTGGGCTCCGAGTCACCAGGTACGACAGCGGGCTCTGAGTCAATTGGCACGACAGCGGGCACCGGATCAGGTACCGGATCATCTGGATCAACAGCGGGCATCGAGTCAACTGGCCTAATAGGATCGTCAGGCTGGATCAGTTCATCATGCTGGGTAGAGGCATCAGGCTGAATGCCGGCGTCCGGCTGAGTAGAGGCTTCAGGCCGAGTAGAGGCTTCAGGCCGAGTAGAGGCATCAGGCCGAATAGAGGCTTCAGGCTGAAGAGAGGCATCAGGCTGCGTACAGGCATCAGGCCGAGTAGAGGCATCAGGCTGCGTACAGGCATCAGGCTGAGTACAGGCATCAGGCTGAGTACAGGCATCAGGCTGAGTACAGGCATCAGGCTGAGTAGAGGATTCAGGCTGAGTAGAGGATTCAGGCTGAGTAGAGGCTTCAGGCTGAACCACGGAAGGCAGTTCACCAGTTTGGATACTGGCAGGATGGTATTGGTTGGAAAGAATTTCGCTTTTTTCTGGTTTTAACTACTGGAGCACTGCAAGTAAACGCAGGTCTGCAAACGAATGGAGCAGCTGGAGACAGAGAAGAGCTGGAGGATGGAACAGGGGAGGGAGCAGTTGCTACAGAGGGCCTTTTTACAGGGTTAAAGGCAGGATAGGATGCGGTAGATAGCAGGGCAGGAGGAGCTGTTGGGAATGCAGGAATAGAGTTTTGAGGAAATAGATTAGAAGCAGGACTGGGTTTTTGTAAGCTGACTGAGGCTGGGTGCAACAAATCTGTCCATGTCTGCAGTATGGGTTGAACAAAGCTGAGCTTACACAAAGCCTGTCTGACCAAAGACTGCACTGCGTTTATACAATCTCTTAGTGTCTGTGGTGAACATGTGGAATAACGCTCCAGAAAGTAACCCACATCATCCTCTAATAACCACACCAGGGACTCTACCTGGTCTGCACTAAATGGTGGCAAAAATTCATCCCTGCATTCGGGGGTACCAGATGAAACCAACTCAGCACAAACCTCAATCAATGGCTGCACCTCAGAGAACTCTGTGCCCTGATCTACTAGAACATGAGCGAGCCGTATACATTCTAGCAGTTCATCCCGGGAATACTCCTTCAGAGTTTGATAAGCATACTCCCTGTCATCAAACACTAGCAGATATAAATACACAACCTCATCCAGATCCATCCTTCCCATCAACAAGCCAAGATGGCTTCCCTGTGCAGCCACTTCTGGTCAGGATTGGCCTTGGTGTAATGTCAGGGCTCCCGGGTATGACCAGAGGTGTGTGACTGACGCAGGGAAACGCAGGCTTCAGATATGTTATAAACAATGTAATTTATTAACACTAACCATACAAACATAAACGCAGTGCAATACTAAAACATAACACAGTGCAAACAAAGCAAACCAACCACCCACAGATAACAGTACATACAATGCAAGCGTCGTCAGGCAGGCCGGGTCAATATCAGTCGGGCAGGTAGGTACAGGGGGAGCAAGCGGAGAATGGTCGGGGTCACAGGCCAGGTTCAGCAGGTAGCGGGCAGCGTGGTACAGAGGGTCAGGCAGAGGAGAATGGTCAGACAAGCCAGGGATCAGAGCAGGGTCAGCAGAGAATCAGACAGGAACAGAGAGCAGGAACAGGATACAGGGCCCAAGAGAAACACAACACCAAGGCAGAGTCTGCAGGTCTGAATGTCCCTTAAATACACCAGTATAATTAGTTCCAGGTGTTTGACTGGCTGCAAGGTTGAGTCTCTGATTGCTGGGAGCACCCGCTGGCCAGCCCTGGTACTGCAGCTCATAAGGCAGCTGAGTCCCACTATTGCTGGCCAGTCCATTCCTGACAGATACTCTACCCCTGCCCCCCCACCGCCCATATGACTGTCCCGTTGACCTGTTACCCGGTTCAGAAATTCCGTTTGGGCGAATCTTCCCCCTTTCGGAGCTCGAATTGGGGGCCCTGAAAGAATATATCGAGGACAGCCTCCAGAAGGGGTTCATCCGCCCTTCCACTTCACCTCAGCACCCATTTTGGGTCACCCAGACGCCACCCTGCTCTACATCTTGGAGGTGGATGCATCGGAGAATGCAGTAGGTTCCATCCTCTCCCAGCGGAAAGGCACCAAGGAATTGCTCCATCCTGTAGCATTCTTCTCACGGAAGTTTACCCCAGCAGAGAAGAATTATGATATCGGTGATCGAGAACTACTGGCGATCAAAACGGCATTAGAGGAATGGAGGTACCTGCTGGAAGGCGCCGTGCACCCCATCTTAATCTTTACTGACCACAAGAACCTGGAATATCTGAGAACTGCCAAGCATCTACGCCCGCGACAGGCAAGATGGGCACTATTCTTTTCTAGATTCAACTTCCACATCACGTACCGGCCTGGATCAAAGAACACTAAGCCAGATGCGTTATCACGTATGTACGAGGACGCCAAGGAGATCCCAGTGCCCGACACCATCCTGTCCTCGGGTAACTTCTTGGCCCTTCAGTCGGACCTTCGTTCCAAGATAATGGAGGCATCCACAACCGTCTCTACCCCAGTCGGAGGGCCCCTCCAGAACAAGGGGGGACTCCTATGGAGGGAAGATCGGATTGTGGTGCCGGAGGAAGCCTGAACCCTGGTCTTGGGGCATTGCCATGACCACCCGATGGCGGGGCACTTTGGCCCAGAAAAGACCCTGGAACTTCTCCGACGCTCCTTCTGGTGGCCGGACATGGCTAAAGATTGTAAGGGCTATGTAAGGTCCTGTATCACCTGCCAGAAGAACAAGCCATCAAGAAACAAAGTTTGGGGTCTGCTGCGACCCTTACCGATTCCTGAATGACCTTGGCAAAAGATCTCGTTAGACTTTATAGTCAAGCTTCCGCCATCACTAGACCACACGGCAATCCTGGTGGTCGTGGACCGCTTGTCCAAGATGGCCCACTTCATCCCGTTGAAGAAAACCCCCTCGGCAGCCGAGACTGCGCGAGTCTTCATTCGTGAGGTGGTAAGGCTGCATGGGGTCCCCGAAGACATTGTCTCTGACCGGGGGGTCCAGTTCACGTCAAGATTTTGGAGAGCACTGTGCAAAGCCCTGGACATCAAATTGTCCCTCTCCTCTGCGTTCCACCCTCAAACTAACGGTCAAACCGAAAGAACCAATCAGACCCTGGAGCAATACTTACGATGCTACACTTCATTTACTCAAGATGACTGGATGCCACTTCTACCCCTAGCGGAATTCGCGTACAACAACGCTGGCCATTCAGCGACGGGACAGTCCCCGTTCTTTGCCAACTATGGTTTTCACCCCGTCTTCCTCCCGGATTTGGTCTCGGAATGCCCAGTACCAGCAACGCAAGATGTGGTAACGTTTTTCTCCGCGAACAATAAGAAGCTTCAAGAGGCCATCAGTCGGGCCCAGGAAGACTACAGGAAGGCATTCAACAGGAAACGGACGGGAGACCTGGTGTTGCGGCCTGGGGAGAAGGTTTGGCTAGCGACATCCAATTTAAAGATGCTTTGCCCATCAAAGAAATTGGGACCCAAATTTATAGGCCCTTTTTGCATTAAATGGATGGTTAACGAAGTGGCCTACGAACTCGTTCTTCCTGACACACTCAAGATCCACCCAGTCTTCCATGTGTCCCTGCTGAAGCCAGTGATCCCAGATGCCTTCCCCGACCGAGAATCTAAACCCCCGGAAGCCATAACGGTCGAGGGAGAAGAAGAATTTGAGGTAGAAACAATCCTGAAGTGCCGAAGCAGGGGGGGCCAGACCAAATTCCTTATCAAATGGAAGGGCTATGGCCCTGAGGACAATTCTTGGGAGCCAGCCCATAATGTCCATGCACCCAGACTTGTCCGGAGGTTTTTTCTCGATCTCCCGTGGTGGAGAGATCGGGTGGGCATCCGGAGGTTGCCCGTAGGGGGGGGGGCAATGTCAGGGATCTCCTCGATCCCCGCCGCTATGGTCCCGGCGCAGGCGCAGTGCACTGCCCTGTGCAGGGACACGGGCACTAGGTCCGGGCCGTCCGCGGCGTTCGAGTTCGCGCATGTGCAGTAGAAGCCGCGGCCGCCCGCTGGGCACCAATGGCAGCGCAGGGCGGGATATTTAAATAGCCCTGAGCTGTCATTCAGTGCCTTCTGGTCTTTCTTGCATCCTGTGATTCTGCGAACCTGTACCCTGTAGGTTATTGACCCGGATTGTACCTGACCTTGCTGTTTTCTCCTATTCTGACCCTTGCTTTGCCTGACCTCTCTCCTGGATGCCCCCTATTAGATTTGACCTGCTGTTGCTGACCTGGCGTGTTACCCGACCATTCTCTGACCGCTGCCTTGTACCTTACCATCCTCTCTGTTACCGACCCGGCTCGTCTGACCTTGCTCATCCATCCATCCGCTCATCCCTCGCAGCGGGGTCTCCTGACCTCCTCATATCAGACTCTTTTCCGTGGGAGCCCTTGGCGCATACCACTACCACTGACGGACGCACCCAGTAGCCACGACCTGGTCTCGGGGGGCTCCAAGTCCATCCCCACCATCAGGGGCCCTGGTGAACAAGCACCCTGGGACTTAGACTCCGTGCTCTTGGGACGCCTATTCAATGGAGTGATAGTGGTACCGCCGGGCGGTCCCTTACACAGGGAATGCTTATCTATGAAGTCTCAAACATTTCCTGGTGTATTGAAGCCTTTCACGGCTTCCTCCCACCCTTGACTGCTATGTCACTTTTGTAGTACTACCCCCTTGAGAGCTGCTGGATTTGGATTCACCTTATTTCCTGCATAGCCAGGCAACACACATTTTCCAACTTTCATTCAGAGTCAGTAACCAGTCCATGGCCTTGTTTTTGTTGTTTTATTTAGGTAAACAACTTGGATAGAGTCTAAAGATATATGGGATGCCCAACTTGACTTGAAACCATAACTCTAAAGAAAACTTCCTAAATTCTGTGCAAAAATGAAGTCTGCTTGAAGAATCAGTAACACGGTATCTGTAAGGAGCGCTTGGTTCCC